TAAGTAGCAACTCTCTTAACACAGTCACTGACACTTGCATGTCCTCTCTCATGTGGTTCAAATAATGTTGGTTGCTCACTCAGACTTAAGCTGCTTACACTTATTGTTTCATAGTGTAGTGAACGCTCTCTAATACTAAATTAGTGAGTTTCATCTGTAGCAGTCGATACTACAATAGGCCTACAACACACAATACATGTAATGGTGAAGCTTAAATTAGGACATAATAATCTAGATAAAATATGAGTTTCATCGATTGTATGTTTGATGTGTATGAACATTTCTACTTAGTAAGAGACTATATATTATATCTTAAGCCATAATGGTTTTTTAAATGGAATTTTCTTCCCTTAATTTTGAAGATTTTTTTATTGACCTAGAGCAGTCAATAATTATTTCAGGAGTCGTTATAAGTTAAAATCGCAAATCTTCTTTGTCAAAACATTTATAGTATTGTGCTTTGATTATCATATTTTTTTATAATTTTTTGGCACTGTTGAAATTTTTTAAGAAATCGGCACCTATTGGTACAATAGGAGTTTTGAAACTGTCAAGTGTCCATTTTGTAAACCAATTTCATAAAAAAATTTGAATAAAATGATCTAATTTATGAATATTTTTTTGCAATTTTTAGAATCCCTAAATGATTATCTATGAATTTTCAACGAAAAATTAATTATAATAATATTATTATATATTATATCTTAAGCCATAATGGTTTTTAAATGGAATTTTTTTCCCTTAATTTGTTTTCACCAACATAGAGCAGTTTGAGGAATTAAGAGAAAACGAGAGGAGAGAGAAAGAGAAAATCCTAGTTTTGTGCGACTTCAAGTCATTTTCGTTCGACGGTTCAATTGGGATACTTGTTCATCTCAAGATAGGTCACATTATGCTCATCTCAACTTTAGTAAAAAATTTTATTGAAATTTTGTATTTGTTAGTAAAAAATATGGATAACTTTGCACAAATAAAACTTTCATCACATAACTTTTTCTATGTTATAGAGATTATGATTATGCACATTTTGAATATTTTTTAAAAATTTTAACAACGTGATTTTTTAATTTGTGGGATTTTTATTGAATGGAAAATTATCTAGATATTAAAAAATAGTATAATATAATAAACGTCTTAAAATATCATTTTACACAATCTCTAATAATTTGGTAATTTTTTAAGAATGTGCATTTTTTTCTAGTCGGATTTTTTGTTATCTGTCATTATACAATATTGTGAAATTTTGATACATGCTCAATTACTCTTTAACTGCTATAATGTGATGATATATATGGATATGCTATTAAATTATATATATTGGGAGTTATAAGGGGCCATAATCCTCTGAGATTTTCTCTGTGTGAGTGAATTATTGGGAGTTATAGGGGCTAGAATCTTTTAAAATTCTGTCTGAGATAGGGATATGTGATATATTCTCTATGTTATAAGCACAAACAAAAAGTGAGTTATAAGGGACCAAAATGCTTTGATGTTCTGTTTGAGTCCAGGAAATGTGATATGAACTGTTATGTAATATGAATTTCAATTTATTTATTTGTTCAGTATTATTATTTAAATCATGGAATAATTATTATGCATTTATTACATCTCTCAGTATAGTAGTTTTTTTTAATTGAAAATTTTTAATATTAAATTTAGGACCATCTAAGCTCCAATTTTAGCAAATTTATAATTGAATTGAACATCTCAACAAAACGAACCTAACGACACCAAAAATGGTCCAATTCGAGCTTAAAATAAGCCCAAATTGAGAGCCTAAAGCATAATTAGAAGTTTCGACACTCTAATTGGATGATCCAATGATATTTAAATTTGCATGATATAATATTGGAGATGTTCAAATACATGAAAGTGCACTTTCTGATATGTTATAAGGGCCCTACATGTTATGTTCTTTCCCCATCTATCTAGTGCAGATGTGGGAGGGATCTTGGACCCACTTGTTAGAAGTAGATGTGAGAGGTTATGTGATATTGTTTTGTTTTGATTTTGGTCCCACTTCCCATAGGAGCGTGCTAGAAGTTAAAGGGAGATATAAGTGAAAGTAGAGTTATAAGTAAGCATCGGGACATGTGCATTATAAGTATTGCATTGTATATGCATTAATGAATTAAGTGCAAGCAGTACTCTAAATTGAATGTTAGAAATTCTTAAATTTCTGTATGGATCCTAATAAAATGTAAAAACTAAATGCAAGTGAATTTTTTATGGCAAGCACTCTATGATGTATTTGGAAATATCTATGAAAGTGACTTACAAGTGAGTGGTTATCTTGAAAATAAGTAAATACTAAAACTCTAGAAAGTTGTGGTTTATTAATACTTTAGTTATTCTTTATAATTTATTGTCATTTTAAATTATAATGTGATTTAATATTTTAATACAGATATTGATATTTGTGATGGGTTTTGAAAAGAAGTCTATTGAATCATTTGTGCTCACTATGTTCTTTCTAATATTTCAATAAAATGAAAGAGCACGGCAGAGTAGATAAGGTGTATAGGCGAGATCTTTTAAGTTTAAATAACTGCTGTATTATTTTGTAATCAAGTTTTTAATTGTTCTAATGTATAGATGATTGGTAAGTTGGATTAATTTATACATTTTAATTAAATGGAATATGTTCAATGATCTATTATTTAGATTTTATTGTTGATATGATTGTCTCTGTTAGTGGTTGAGATGTTTAATTATAAGTTTAAGGTTTTAACCCTTCCATTAAATCCTAGTGTGTCACACTAAATGTCTTAAAATATATAGAAATCCTACTTATTTGTAAAAAAAAATTTACAAGCATTTTAGTCATTTTCATAGAAAATCTAGACAGCCCACCATATGGTAAAAAATATCCTCGTTAATCATTTTATATATATTTAGACATCCCAAATTATCACATTATTAAGGGGTTTTGAGCTCATATGTTTGCTCATCAAGACTCTTTTTAATTATACACTTACAAAATTTACAAGTTTTGCCCGAATAATTTCACAAAGTTTTAAATTATGCTTATAAGTGTTCAATTTAAATCCATTCGGACTATAAGATTTAAGAGTTCTTAGTACCATTGGGTTTATCTTATTCAATCACACTATTTCATCTACAACTTTGACCAAAATAGAATTCGGTTGATCTCAAAAATAATCCTTGAAGTTTCTTTACCCAATTACTTTGATACTTTAATATCTCAAAATTGCATCAAGTATATAATCAATAAGTTGAATTCTATTATGATGTATTAGAGTTCAATGGTTCAATAAATGATTTATTTTAAATCTCCTAAGAAAAAATTGTAGTCCTATATATATTATGCTTATAAGTGTTCAATTTAAATCCACTCGGACTATAAGATTTAAGAGTTCTTAGTATGATTTATCTTATTGAATCTCACTATTAATCTACAACTTTGATCAAAATAGAATGGTTCATCTCAAAAATAATCCTTGAAGTTTCTTTACCGAAATACTTTGATACTTTAATATCTCAAAATTGCATCATGACTTGTTAAGGGATTAGGGGTGTGAGCAAGTCAAGTTAGATCGAGTTTGACTTGTTAAGCTTCTTTCATGAGTCAAATATATTGAGCACAAGTTTGAACTCAAGCTTTACCTGGCTCAGCTTGTTAGACCACTCGATTAACTTAAATATATTTTAAAATTATTTTAAATTAACATTATATAATATATTTTAATCTTTTTTAAATAATTTTATATTAAAAAATTAAAAATACTAAAATTTGTAATTTAAAACTTAAAATCGAGCTCAACAATTGAGTCAAATTCGAGCTTTTCAAACAAGCTCGAGCAATCAAGTCGAGCTTGAGTTCTATAAAAACTAAACAAGTTTAGTTCAATTAGACAAGCACTCGAACTCGTAGATGGTATATATGAGATTTTCTCTCTTGCTAGCAAGCGGTAAGCAGTGGAAAAAAATTAAAGATTGAATTTAAGATTATCATAAACTAATGTTTCATTTAAGACGGTTTCCCTTAAAACAATTTTTTAGTACAAAAATGTTTAAATTAAAAATTTTTATAATAGATAACTACTTCAGAAAGATGATGATCATCAATCGCCAAGTATTGCATTCTCAATTACAAGTGCTCATTGGTTTATTAAACTAGTGCATTCTCAACTGGTTATAGTTCTTGTGCTTCTATTTTGCACCCAAAGAAATAATCCTTATACAATTAGTGATCTTTGATCTGTGTATACAATCAACATATATTATATCATTCTAATTGTATCACAAAACCCTTAAATTTGAAAGCAATCTTATAATCAACTTTCAAGCTAGAATTGACTAATTAATTAACTTATAATTTCAATCTAAGCTGCTCAATTTAGTCTAAAAACATATGTGACTTTCGAATGATCATCAAACTTCAAGTAAATTTAGCCCCAACATCAACATCTAAACATATAACTTTCATACAAAATTTATTAAAGGTATTTAGGTATTGCTTGTTAGTTGAGGCATCTGGCATATGCAAAGGATAAAAAGACAAAATGGAGAGGCATTAAAAGAAGGGATGGAGGACTTACAGAAAAGCAACTGAAAGTAATAATGTTTAAGGCAGCTAGAAGTAAACTTTAGTGGTCCATGCCTTTACCTTTGGTTGTGCCTTTTTGGGCTCAAGCAAGAGATTATTACATGCGGAGATTGGACACAAAGAATCGTTTGATTGTCTCTGGAACAATAAAAAAACATATATGAACAGTAAAAACAAAGTGATGAGCAGTATAATCTCTTTTACAGTTCACAGAGACAAAACTGAATAGTTCTTTTTGTCGGATCTTCGCACGTAATAATCTCTCCAAATTCAGGTTTTAATCAGGCAAAGTTATAGATGACTTTAGGTCATGTCATACAAAGTACAACCATAAGGACCCTAACATCACATGGGCCCTATGATCATCTTGCTTTCCAAACCAAAATTTACACAAATCACAACTCCCAAGAATTTTCCACAACGAATTCCATAAGAAAGGAAAAAATTGCCGTATAATTTATAGATAACCAAATTGAATTACTTGATTTACAGTGACCTTACTGTAACAATGAATTCTGCCACCAACAAGAAAAATGGCTCGCCACAAAGCAGCAATAAAGAAACAACAATGGCTGAAATCTAGCTCTTCCAGTCATAAAATAAACTGAAATCTGCTTCAGTCTTTTAACTTTTAAATCTAATGCTACGGCTAACATTAGTATTGATTCCAGTGGATTCGCCACCATAAGGACCACTGGGCTTCCTAATGTCTCGTATTTGCCCCTTCCTACGAATAACAGCCTTCTGGTGCTTGATCTGATCAAAATCAACAAAAATAAGCATTTATAATTCAATACAAATTACTAAGGGCATGTTTGGGATAAATTTTATTTTATTTTAAAATAAGCATATTTATTTAGTATATTTTAACTGTTTTTTTTTTTTTTTTTCAATTATCACAGCAGCCCAGATCGCCACTATCATCATGGCCTCATCAACAGTCAGACTATATGTTGGCAACTATGTTGCACCGATACGGATACGGCGACACGGATACCACACGATATGGATACGGGATACGTCAATTCTTAAAAATACAGGATACGGGTATGGCGCGGACACGACATTATAATTTATAATCATACATAAAAATTAAGAAATCAATCAAAGCATAATATTTGAACAAAAAAATGACAACATCATTTGTAGCCTTGTAGCTTATAATATAAAAATATAAGTAAGCATTAAATGTCTAGTACAACAACAAAAGCATAAACATAAATTATCTAGCACATGCAGTTTCAACTATTCAATAGAATGAATGATATAATTATCTTCTTCATTGGTTTGTCTTTAAACTTCTATATCATCTTTAATAAATATCATAGCTTCTAATTCAAGCTCATCAAGTGAAAGATTAGTAATTTTTAATATTTTCATATCATCAAGAGATTCAAATCCATCTCAGAAATGAGAGAATCTTGTTCGCAACCGCGGAAGTAAATACGACACGTCTTTTTTCTTCGGATTTCTTTTTGTTTTTCAACAGACACGCGTATCGGATACGTGTGTCCTTTTGAAATTAAATAGCATTTTAATTGGATACAGCTTTGGCGAATCCGACACGTATCGATGGAGTATCGGAGGCGTATTCGTGTATCGGTGTATCGGACACAGCACGCCTCCATAAATAGGTGTATCGGTGCAACATAGGTTGGCACTCCATTGCTTATATAAACAAAAATAAATTTTAAGATATTAAATATATTTTATTTCAAGTCAAATATAAATAAAATAAATTAGAATATAAAATAAAAAGACAAATTAAAAGTGTTCCAACACATAACTGGGGGTGTCAATATTTAATACGACCCAAAAATTTTGGGTTTGGGTCAACCTGAACCCAAACCCGAATCGGGTCGGGTTCGTGTTAAGGATTTCAACCCTTTTGTAAAACCGGGTTGGATTCAGGTTGACTTGGAAACCTGAAACCAACCCATTCTGTCCCGCCAATCACCCAAAATCTGCAACTACTCAATGTAAAGTAATTACTAGTATATTTAAATTAAAATGATATACTAGGATGACAGAACCCAAACTACTCAACGTAAACAACTGAAATGCTGCTCTGCTCACCTTGTATTTCTTTCGTGGATTCTTGGTAAGTTTCTTCCTGTTGCGAGTGAGACCTCTGTTCTTTTCCATCTGGAATTTTTTATGGTAAAAATAAGACAATCTTGAAAAAGTTGCTCCAATGATTTTTCCTTCATTCAACTAAATCAAGATGATAGATAAAATACTCACCTGACGAGTGATTTGACGTTTACCATCAGCTTCGGGTTCCACCATTGGTATGGCATGAGCTCTGACAATGATATAAGCAGTGGAGAGAGATGGAACTTTATCAAAGATCTAATCTTGGCTTCAAAATATTTAGATTTTCACCAGTACCTCAATAGAGTTAAAAGGATTAGTACCTTTCGTTCAACTTAATTTTTATGTACTATAAAATTAGCATGATAAAATTAATCACGTTTATTCTATAGATTTTCTTTAAATTATAAATTCATTTATAGTAAAGATTTTAACATTTTAATTTTATAATTACTTTTTAATAAACTTCTCATAGTACAATTAACTTAATTTTATCCATTAAAATTGATTTATCTTTTGATCTAAAGTAACTTTCACATGTATTTCTTGTTTTTTTTAAAGCATTAAGAGATATTCTTCTGGATTAATAGAATAATATGTTGGGTCAACATAAACTATGGTGGCCCATTAGTAAGAGTTCGAAGAATAAAGTCAATAATTATAATTTGGTTGGTATACCAATAAATGTGAATGCATCTTGTGGTATATTATTAAAAATCCCAAAATACTTGGGACGAGTGCCCTATGATGCTTCAGAAGTGCTGGCTAATAAATATGTTCAATGAATAGATATTTGTTTAATTTTAATTGAGAAAATGATGAAAATGGTCCCTTGACATTTTATGAAAGGTCAAAATGGTTCCCAACTATTTTAAAAGGCCATTTTGGTCCGTCAACGCTTTAAAGAGGAATTAAAATAATTCCACCCTGAGACTATTTCAGTTCTTTTAAGTATTTGAGGGACCAAAATGATAATTTAATATAATTGGATATTATTTTAATCTTTCCTAAAGAATTAAGGGGACCATTTTAATAATTTCTCAATTTTAATCGTCTCAACAAATGTGTATATATAAACATGTATATGTATATGCCTTCCACACATATACATGCAATTGATCTATTCATATTTAGAAAAAATAATAATACACATGCTAAATTAAATTACAATTTTTTAAATAATTTTAAAAATAATAGGCTTATCATGAATCAGATTTCAACTTGAAATATATTATTTGTTGAACATGACTTGAACTTGACTAGAGTCAAGATTGCAACCTTCAATTTCAATTTGAGGTTGAATCACTCTAACTGGATTGTTAATTTTTCAGAAATGGTGCTTACCTTGAATAAAGTTCTGATTTTGCATTAAGCTTTTCAACCCGTTGTGTCTTTACTTTTCTATAGAATTCATCTTCAGATTCCAATTCTTCATTTTCTTGGAAATCAGCGCCAACAGTATTTATTCCAGGGTTATCATAGCCTTCGTCACCATCATCCGTTGATATCACTCTAGCCCTGGCAAGAACCCTGAGCTCATGCTTTCTTCTCCTTTCTGCAATATCATCCCTCTTTGGCAAGTCGCCATCACCAGAAACAACCTGAAAATTCAAAAACTCAAAGGTCATATATTGTTGATAATGTTGAAGCTAACTGTAGTGAACTAATTCCTACAAGCCATCAATCCATTACACAAAGGATCAACATGTGTATATCTCAGACATGAACATATATAGATTACTTTAAAACATAATTGTCATTTCAAAAAATTACTGCAGTTTCGAAGGATATAAAAATTAGATGCCTTTTCTGAACAATAATTTCTTCCTTTGGGGCTATATTAGCATACTAGACATTTGCAAGAGGATGTACCTTGGTGTATGCTTTTTGCTGATGATATTCTTCTTGTTGATAAGACTAGAGAGGGAGTTGAAGGTAAACTTGAATTATGGAGGTCAACCTTAGAGTCTAAAGGTTTTCGCTTGAGTAGATCTAAAACGGAATATATGGAGTGTAATTTTAGTAGTAATAGACCTAGTGAGGGGATTGTGACTTTGGGCGATCAAGTCATTAATAAGAGTACACGTTTTAGATATCTTGGATCTATTGTTCAGAGTGATGGTGATATAGATGGGGATATTATCAGCAGAATTCAAGTTGGATGGTTGAAGTGGAGGAATGCATCGGGCTTGTTATGTGATAGAAATGTACCCCTCAAACTTAAGGGAAAATTCTATAAGATGGTAGTGAGGCCTGCAATGCTTTATGGTGCTGAATGTTGGCCTTTAAAAGAGAAGCATAATACTAAGTTAAGTGTGGCAGAGATGAGGATGCTTAGGTGGATGAGTGGCTTTACCCTTAGAGATAGGATACGAAATGAGCATATACGTGAAAAGGTTGGAGTAGCTCCAGTAGAAGATAAGATTAGAGAAAGTCGCCTTAAATGGTTTGGTCACATAAAACGGCGGCCTTGCGATGACCCGGTTAGGAGAGTAGAGGTATTAGATTTGACTTATGTTAAGAAAGGTAGGGGTAGACCTAAAAAGACTTGGTTAGAAAATATTAGGAATGACCTTTCTTTATTAGATTTAAACGAGAATTTGACTTTTAATAGGACACAATGGAGAAAAAGGATTCATGTAGCCGACCCCACGTAGTGGGATAAAGGCTTGATGTTGTTGTTGTTGTTGTTGTTGGGCTATATTAGCATATATGTTGGTGTTGCATGAACTTGAAATGATAAGCCAGACGTGTAGTGGTTATATAAGCGAGTGTATTACATACTGTGATTAGCCAATGAAAACAAGAAAAAGTAGATTGGATTTAGTTTAAGCCACTAAACTCTGAGCATTCTTCTACAGAATCAATATTGAGGGAAGAAAACGCTTATGTGAAGAACAGCAAATCTGAAAATTTACACGCCAAAATTTGTAAGTAGATGATCTTCAGTTTTCCTAGTTTATCCCTGTGGGTAGTGAGTTCTTATTGTAGCCCCGAGGGCAGTTGAGACTTTCTTATTTTCTTTATTATTGAGACCTATATATAAAGGTCTTTTGCTTTGTATGAGGTTAATGATGAATCAATAAAAAAACTTCAGCTTTTTTTTGCTCTTGTTGCTTGTGTGCTTCGGAGATACGAGAGAACCCTAAGAGAGGGCCAACGTAATACCTGACAGCCGTCGGAAGGTTTGGGCTCTCGGTTCTACTTTACTTCAATTCTCTTCTTATTTCTTTTTCCTTCCTTCTTTCTCATACCGCCGGCCACCTCTTGTTTTTCCCTTCACTACGTTTCCCTTTTGATTCTTCCCTACTCGAAACCCCTTACCCCTATCGTCGGCCTCCCATTGGCCCCTCTAGCCGCCGGCCATCCTTTCCAAACTCCATGAATTTTGAATTTCAAAATTCATACCTCCCTTAATTACTTTCATAAAATAATCATACTAATTTTGGAAAGTATCTTTATTTGAAATTAATCCTACATTTGAGTATCTTTATTTGAAATTAATGCAAAGATCTTGATGAAATCAATCCAAAATGATAGATTGTAATAATGAAATCAAAGAAAAATTAAATGCAAAGCAAGATACAATTGATCCTCAATTTGAGTGGAGAATCGATCCCCCAATCTCCAGACGATGAATCTAGAGCCCAAGAAACTAAAAAAAAAACTCCAAGAGAACCTCTCCAAGCATGCATAACCATAACCCTAAACAAGTCATACTATTAATACATTAATTCCCTAATTCAAACATCCATAATTCAAATTTTCCCAGTCACCCTAGCTGCTCAACCCTCTCTCATTAAATTACTCCTAGTGGGGCCCACTAGTGTGGGCGGCAAAGAGGTAAAGGAGGCGGCACATGTACGCCTCCTGTATACATGCGGACCTTTGGGCCGGCTGATGAACCGGCCTAACAAATACATCATGGAGATTTTCACAAAATGAACCCCGCCATCAAAAAAGCTGAAAGAACATCCTATGCAGAAATTCAAAACTCCAAATATGTCATGAGCCTAGTAGCAAACTTTTAATGAGAACTATATGTATAAATAGAATAAAAAGCTTGAAAACTTTTGAAAACTAACTAAAAATTCTCTAAAATAACATATAACCCTTTGGGTCAAGGAAAACTGAAGAACTATATTTTCCACTTGTTCATGGGATTTTAAAATACATAAAATATTCCCATAAAATATCATATTGAATTGGGGTAGGAGTCTTGAAAATTTCCATACAAAACCTCAAAAAAATTCTTGACCTTTAGGTTTGAGATGTTGGCAGGTGATTAGACCTGGGTTCAACTCGTGTAACATCATAAAAAGTGCTAAAAATTCTAATATTTCTACTTCAAAAAGCATGACAAGATGCAAAAACACTCCAAAAGGTAGTCAAAGAGCAGAAATGCATTATGGATGGCAGAAGTATAAGCGAATGATGCACAATAATCAATATTTATGCTAGTACATTAAAGAGCATCTTAATGCATTAAAAAGTATGCTAACGCGTCAGAAAAATGCCTTGAGGTACTAATTTATCTAAGAAATGTATGCATAACATTAAAAAAATAATGTGAAGCACATGCAACCGTAAATGACTCACAAGAATAGTCATCACTGCCAAAATGTGTCAATACGCCACTAAGCATGTAGATATATCAAAAGTGCGCAAATGCTCCTTGGAATTTAAAATGGTCTCAAATCTATGTCAGTGGAATCCAATAGGCACCTAGCTGACAAAAATCACTGCAATGCTCTTCAGAGTGACAAAATCATTGAAATAACCTTTCAAGGACCAAATTACTATAATACCCCCAACCCTTTAAAAAAAAACTGTCAGATTGGTAATCAAACATATATGCCAAGAGCTTGTATCGGGCTTGTTAATTTCCAATTGGTTCAAGAGATTGTTACGCCGGCCTAGGAGGGGCCGGCTGGACCGGTCCAACCTGGACCGGTCCTGGTCTACAGCCGGCGGAAGCCAGACAAAAGGGAGGGGGTGGACAAGCTAGTGGGCCCCACTTGGGCTTAATGCGAAATTGAGAGGGAAAATTTGAATGAAAAGGGTGTTTTAGGTAATTTATAATGGTCCGTTTGTCTTAAATTAGGAGTTATGATGAGAATTAGGCTCATCTTGAATTTGAATTAGTTTTGGGAGATCTAGGGTTTGTGTTCTTGGGCTCTTGGCGTTGCCGGAGATTGTGGAGAGTTTTTCCTTCCTCTCGAATTGAAGGAAAGTTGTATCTTGCAAGTGCTTTTCATCCTTTTTAAAAAAAAAGTGTTTGCATCGTTTTTCTACTATTTTCCCTACGTCTTTCTCTCAGTTTTTCTGGAGTTTTGCTGTTTTTCTGCTGTGGACAGCAATATTCGATTGGATCTACTTTGGTTTTGGTGAGAAACACTTGGAAATCCAAGTGTTTCCTATCAGAGATCTAATAAGTCATCTCACTATGTAGGTTAAAATGCACACAATATCAAACTTAAGCCTCATTATTTGGTCTCCTCATCAAGAGTTGTAAACCACGACCTTTGACATTATAATTCATAAATCAATTTAAATCAAATAAATGCAAATAGAATCAAACCGCCTCGTCTATACAGTGAGGCTATAAGTCCTAACTATGGGTTATTCTCATTGTCAATATTGTAATCACCACTATTGAGCTTTTCAATGGATATAAGCTCTAAACCAACTAAACTGGATCAGTATAAAACCAACACACCCAATAAAATCAAATTTAATTCCCAAGTCTTCCCCAACAGAGACACAATCCACGAACAAGTTTATAAGAACAATTATTCAAGCACACTAAATAATAACTTATACAAACTTACATAAAACCGAGTATCATTAAGTTTGGGCCAACTCAACACTACTAATCTGCCTTGTCAAAAAATTATGTTTGAGCTACCCTTCACTCTACTAAGCCTAAACGACTTTCAGATGAGCTCATATGCCTTCAAAACCTAATATGCTAACCCTATTTCAATTACTCGTTCATAAGTCCAACAAAAAAGCTCAACAGTCGGGCAAGCTCACACTATAAGCCGCACTTTTAAAGAACAATTTAAATGGGCCATCTCATAGCCAACAAGTCCCTTCAATTGAATTATAAGAGTCAACAAGTCTACCAACTATTAAATCAGTCTACTTGGACAAACCTAACTCTCATTAAAGTAAACCACAATATACTACATGCGAAAGGCATTTCTTTGAGATCAACCAAATTTTCACTTGAAACTTAGCTCAGAGCTCCCTTCATGAGAAAACCAATAGATATGACAGAGAATACTCTACAGTGTGGTTCAATCACCTCTTAAGAATTGATCGATAATCAAGAATAGCATATTGAGCCAAATGTGTCATATAGACTACAACTTCATGTTAGTAAATGCTGAAACATAAAACATTGTATGTATAAGGCATCACCCCTAATGGGTAAACCAATTCCCTCCAATCAAATTAAATCTACCATGTCATGCCTTTGATTACTCATTGATCATGCCCAATACATATTAACCATGATTGCCATGCATCTTGCCTCTGAGCCTCTCAAACTATTTGATGATATGGAAAGCCTTCTTCTAGTAAAGCAAACAAAAGTTCCATCTCAAATAGCCATGCCCATTATATATTGACAAAGGTGCTCAACTGATTGTCAAAATCTAGACCTAGCATAAGCTTTCTATTTCAACCAACCAAACCACACGTCATAGATATGTTTTTTTTCAAGTCAAATTAAAACTGGCAAATAATTGATGATCATGTCGTGCTTCTAAGACTTTGTCGGTCATTTCTAAAACCTATTATCGAGGGAAATCTAGTTAATTAAAAATCAAATCTACCTCAGGGAAAAATGTAACATAAAGCCCTAGAAGCGGGGTTCGTACCCGTCAGTGCCATCTTTTCCTGAGCGAAAATTAGGCATGAATGGAAATGGGGTCAAAAGAGGTAAGTGGAATTATTTGTTGTAGAATGGATGAAACAAAAGGTCATCTATCTTAGATTGGAGGGTGCAATCTTGGAAAATGATTTGTTTTAGAATGGTTAGAATTGAAGTTAGGATTTATAAATAATAAAAATGATTTTTTTACTATAAGTGACCAAGCTATGCACCGCTAAACTACTCAATCAAATTTAAGGAAATCCATGTACTTATGAATGAGTCAACATCAATCTCAATCTACTCATTATAGATGAGAACTGACAAGACAGGGTTGCTAATCAAGGTCCATGGATATTACGACAAGCATTAGTAGATTGGGTCCATTGACATACTTGAAATGATAGAACCATGGGCCTCGATCAAGTTTAATTCCTTCCCACAATCATTCCCCATATCAACTAAATATGAACCTAAATTTAAGATTAAGTAACATCTTTAATAGATGGTGCTTCTCGTGACTAAGAGGGTTAATTAAATATAGAAGCTTATGTTCGTGGTAAGTCTTGACCCAACTTCAAATAAATCATAATCCTACATAAATAAAAATCTAGTTAAGTACAATTATTTACCTCAAGAAAACTATTGTTGTGTTCTCACACCTTTGTGGGGTTCATTCACCTTAAAAACAAATAAATGCTATAAGAGAGGATTGCTTTTGCTAAGCCTTCATTCACTTCAAAAAACAAATAAATGCTAATGGCATTCACATACGTTTACAAAATATCATACTAAACTCAAAATTCTGCGACACACGACATTTTAGTATTAAGGAGTAGACTAAAAAAAATAGTATTAGGGAGTAGACTAAACCAAGGCCAACAAAAAAGGGAGTTAATATAATGTTAATTACTGACAAATTACGGAACCATTCTTTATGAGATTTGAAACTAAATACCTTCCATCCCTTTGCTTTAGTAAGAGCAGTTTGTGCAAGTTTGTTTAGTACTTGATGACTATCATCTGGATCATGCTGTTTAGTGCAGGCGACCACATCATCATAATCATTTGTTGTTACATGGCTCCTGTTCAAACAATGAATTATTCAAATACAAAACAAATCAAAACAAAAACTGGCTGCAGCAGCTGGAGATTAAAGAAATCGTAAATTTATCTTAGAGAAATAACCTTAAAGTTGAAGACATACCTGCTAAGAGGCTTTACTAAATCTTTTAAAGTTTTGTCAACCTTCCCCTGGACATGACCGTATATACCTTTCTGCTTCAACTTCGCCTCAAGATTTTCCCTAATTTTCATCATCTCAATGCTTTTTAAATCAAGTTGAGAATTCTGTCAAGTACAGTTATTATCACAATTTGCTATCCAAAATTCAAGAAAAATTGAATCAAGCATGTTCCAGTATTTGATGAACCTGGATCTTTTTGGCACTCTTGCTGTCAACATCCATGGCGCTATCCTTTAATGATCCGGTCATTTCTGACACCTGAAACAAAAATAAATTATAAGAATGGAGCCCTCAATTACATTGAGATTTAGAAGTTGAACAGAAAGGAACATTACCACTAATGCTTTAGCAGAGATATCTAACATGTTAGGTTTGAGTTCCAATGAAGCATCCTGTCCATTTAACTTATTCATGGATTCATAAGTATGATTGCCACCATCTCCTTCCTGTGGGGGGAATTTCAAACTAATCTGCTTCATCTGTCAGCAAAATATGCATCAAAGAATATAATATTTTGGGTAATAAAAGACTCCAAAGATGTCAACTACATGCGCCTAATAAATACAGAACTGATTAAATATGTACAAAATGGGACATTTTCTTCTGTAGGACAACATGAATTATTGTACTAACCTTTTCCCAAAGATTTTTTATCTCTACAAGCCGGGCAATAACTGGATGATCTCGAACGGGATGTCCCTCTGACTTGAGGAGAAGATAAAAGCTAATTGCTTGGCAATAAGTTAAGAGCACAATCTGTTTAAGCTCCAAATAGTCCATCCCTCTAGCTTGATCTTTTCCTTCCCTAACCAGCTTCATAAAAAGAATAAATGGAATATATATATATATATATTACTATTACAAAGTATGACAGGACATAACCGTAATTCATCATTTACAAAATTTATACTGATCTAGTGGATAATAAATTTTCAAACTTAACATGAAAACGGGAGGACAAGGGAGCCTCCAAGCATGCATGTGAGTGCAAATAAGACTCACATTTGTTAAAAAATAGATAAATATAAAAGGGGGGCAAAAGTAAGTCCACCATATATACAAATACAATTTAATTTAGCCAATAGTAAAAAAGTAGCATCGAGTTAAAGAAACATAGGGTGGTATAAAGAAACATGAAAAAATAAAATCCATTAAAATTCCTTTCATAAACGATTTGATAACTTATTAAACTAACGAATCTGTACATCTATGAAAGTGTTTTGTACCTTCTCAATAATTCCAGGACATCTAGAAAAAAACTCTGTAATCACAATGGCCCCTGCTTGCATTTGGAATCGCAGGAAGCTCAAATACTCTATCTTCACATTCTATGATCTTGCAAGTCCCCCAACTTCACTATTATATTCTCCTTGTCCTATTTATCCATTATCTTTATAACTAGACTCACCCCACAAAAATAAAAATAATGAAAAAAGGAGAGTAGTCTGACAACCACATTTACTGTCCTTGGAGTATTCTCATATTTCAAGTTGTCCCAAAACGTTTTGCAACTTTTTATAATCTGCTATAAAGAGTAAACAAAGCTATAAGTGCTTTTTGAAATCTATTTTTGTTAACTTTCACAATGACCTCTTCATACGAGTTTTGACTCCTTAAAATTATTTTCCCACTCATAAAGTGCCAAACATACTATCATCATCTACACCTATCTTGGCAAGTTTCTGGAAAATGCACAAGTTAGATGTCCCATGCTACTACTATGCATCCCATTTTCCTTTAAGTTTGGATAACTACTTGTCAGGATATACCAACAATACTTAACAACAAAATCCTTTTATTATCAGTACTATCACAAAATATTTCAGAGTTACAAGCTCCTTCCACCCACCACATAACAAAGCACCCCCACTATATTTTCCGACTTTCCTTCATACGAAACCACTTCAACATCTTTCCAATAATACCATAAATTCACTTTTTATGTAGTTCACAATTCCCTTTGTATACTCACATATGACTTCACAAGTATCTAGAAAGTAGTCGGTTGGTTACGTGGAGAGAACTCGCATCGAGTGGGCCTCATAAAGGAACTTGCCCAAGGAACACACTAGGCCCAACTCGCTCGAGCCTACGAAGGAAGGTCGTCCCACCCGAGGGGAAATGGATAATCCCTTCAACCAAGTAACTCACCATTTGCCTCGTATAAGGGAGGCAACCATCACAGCAAATCGCCCTCGCCCAGGACAAGTGCTTATCTCCCACACATCCAAGCCCAACTACAGAAAAGCGTCTACCAACCAGCTACTAAGTTCATCTTCTCCGCATCCTCAATTCATTCAACTTCTCTTTGAAGCGATCCAAGGCTCAACACAGGTCACCAAGGGCTCCTAGACAATGCTCAACCAAGGAGCACCCTTTGCTCGAGACTCACTCTTACACTCGTCCCTCTTACTCAACAATACTGAGCTCGTCAGTCGCATATTCAACAATACTAAACTCATCTAGTACACACTCGACGCTACTTAGAACACCTAAAGATAAATCATCAGAGATTTGTAGCCCCCTCCCCTCTCCCTCAATCAATCAAGAGGCGACAATTGTTTAGGACAGTCTATGTACATTGTACTTTTTACTCTTATGGGTGTGATTTTTTATGTAGCCCTTAGAACCCTATAAATAAAAAGTGAAGATGAGCATTTTGTATTTTTTAAACTAAACTATTGATTAATCTTAGGCTGGTCGAGCTTTTGAGTTCTATTAGTACAACTTTTATCTAGCATATCTCTTTCTTTCCATCCTCACATAGGTTCCACATCACCAAATCACAGAGAAGACTTGCTAGTAAAGTCGAGTGTCATCCATGGACAAATTTGAATCCATCACTCTTTTCCCAAAGCGCATGCAAGTTGCACGTTGCATCATAAATAACATCATCATTATTAGCCTTATCACAACCATTCAAAGTCTACTTTACAAATATTCATTTTTCATTGGCTCCTATTGAGTGATAGTGGTACAACCAAGGTTTAAAATTATGCAATGATATAGCACCTTGGTTCAAAATGCACAAAAAATGCAATGAGGCATACTCCTCAAGTGAATGGGGTAATGTGTATGCATTAGTGGGGGTCGATGCTATTTTCAGGAAGTGTAAGCGTCTACTTTTAGAGTCTAGGTTATTTAGAATTTTTAATTTATAAATCTAATATATCAAATTAAACTTATTTGTTTAAACCTAAAGCAAATAGAGAGCACACAAGCCTCCTGAACTAGAAGGCCTCAAGACATCCAAGTCAAACTGAAAAACACAAGGACCCTCATAGTCACACCTTGACGTTGTTGTGTCATTGTTCTAACTCTCGTTGCCAGTAGCCATTTTGCTTTTTTTCTTTTTTTTATTTACGCTTTTTTTTTCGTTTTGGATTTCTGATTTCTTCGATCATTTGCATTACATATTCTTTGTTTTCAATGAGATATAAATTTTCAATTTAGAGTTATTTTCAAATGGTTAGATGTTCTAAGAAGAATTCAATGGGAAATAGAAAAGATCATGCATGGAAGTATTTTGTTCAAGTGTAAATTGCATGGAGTGAGAAGAGTTACATTTATTTGAAATGTAATTATTGTGATAAGATGATTATAAAAATATGTAACAAAAATGAAAGTGCATCTTTTTGGTTCTCATTGTCATGTTGCACCATGTACCAAAGTATCTGAAGAAATGAAAGAAGAGATTTGTGCTTCTATGAAAAAAGGGCACATATGGAAAAAGGAAAAAAATCAGGGAATAAAGTGCTCATGTTAAAGCATTTATCAAAATAATAATTTGATAATAGAGTTGATAGTGGTTCCTACTATGGTACTGAGTCCAGTTACAAAGACTGTACTCCTACCTATGCCACAAATCTCCACTAGAGGTACAGATCAATATATGATTAAAGTGAAGAATGATAAGAATAATGGTATAAGGATAGCTCATCGAATTTCTCCACAAAATGCATTAGAGGCTCGCCAAAATGTGTTTATGAGCATTGGAATATTTTTCTTGGAGAATGCAATTCCATTGATTGTGGCAATTTCTCCATTCTACATCAAGATGGTATCTTAAACCTATTTAAGTATGAACTTAGACTTAGATATTGAAAGAGGAATTGTATATCACTAAAAAGAATATTGAGGAGATCAAGATAATATGGCCACAAATTAAAGTAATAATTATGTTGAATGGCTGCTCGGATATTAAATATAGGAAGTTTATCAATATTCTAATAAGCAATCCCTAGATCTTAGACTACTTGCTTATGTTAAGACTAGAAGTGAGATAGACTTACTACTTAGTACTCCTAACATTTTATGACTTTTTATGATCTTATTTTAACTTTTTATGACCTTACGTTGGCATCTTATTTTGATATTAACATGTCACTTATTATTTCATATTTTTTATTAATTTCATAGTTTGCTTCAAAATGCCTTAAGTCTTATGCCTCGTCTCACGGAAAGAAAACAACTCAATGCTCGATTGTGCAATTTCAAATCTCCGGTGCATCAAGGTCTTAAACCTACTTTCCACATATTTTTTTGAATAACTTTTATCTATGTTACCTTAAGTTATGATGCAACCTAAGTTCTTAAATCAAATAGTATAATACTAGAAATGCAAATTAAGATACTTCCTTTCAATTTCACATAAACAAACACCAAAATGATAGACACTTAGTAGAAAACTAATATAGGAAATTTGTTGGCAAATAGCATAAGAATGAACAAATAACAAAACACATAAACTATAAACCCACAGAACAACCTTGAATTGTAGAAAGAAGACCAAAAGGCGCCCAAAAGAAAGGACAAACCAGCTAACCACCACAAAAGTTATGATCCAACACAAGACTTTGCTCCTCTGGCAAAGACCAAAAAGAACATGGCAAATCACCATTTACCACTCATAATAGTTTAGAGAAGAAAGATACATGTGAAAGAAAAACAGTGAAGAGAAGAAGTAGAAAGAAGACCGAAGCGAAGAAGTAGTAGGAAAGTAGAAGACAGCTCACAAGCTTAGAAAGAAACCATCAGGTTTAAAATGATTAACTCAAAATAGTTTAGAAAAGAAAGATATAGGTGGAAGGGAAACCGTGGAGTAAAAAAGTAGAAAGAAGACCGAGACGAAGTAATAAGGGATAGAGAGAAGACTAGGTCGCAAGTTAAAAAAATCCTTAGGTTTTTTAATTGATCACATTCCAAAAAGTTTCTTTTGCACAAAGGAAATCAACCCTAATTTATAGGAGAAATAAGGGTAATAGCATTTAATAGATCACATAAATGTGCCATCAAATTCATCCCACATTAAAACTTCCTGCATAGGAATCAGTAAAGAGAAAACCGAGCAACCAACAACCAGTAGGGAATCCAAGCAGACAACAGGGAAAATCGAACAGCCACAGAAGAAAAGGAGCAAGAAAACACTAGTGGAAAGGCAATGGAGTGTACTGACCTGAGAGCACCAAATCCGGCATGATCATGGGTTATTTTCCATCATAGAGCCACACAAAATAAAATTGCATAGCATTCAAAACACAAAAAAAAAAATATATAAATATAAAATGATTAATCTTGATTGCATCAGGTTCATCCCTTTTCATTCAAAATTCTCTAATACAACTATATTTGATTGTTTAATAGGTGCCGTTTCTATGATTTTTATATATATTCAAACCACCTACATCAACCTTCATTAGCTTCAACAGATATCACTCTAATTATTTCTTTAATATAATTATTCCCTAATTTATCTTTTTCTAATTTTGTCAAATATTCATCTTAACACTCTCATTTATGTTATGCTCAACTTAAAGATCAATGAATTTTTTACTATCAAACACCAAATTGCCAACCAAATTACAATTTATTAAATTTACTTCTAAATTTTATCAATATACTTTTATCACATATACTCGTTAGGCCATTTTCTATTTTAACCACCAACATTAACACTAGAAATAATATTCAGATTCTTTTGTATACTATATCCCAAATACTTAAAACCTATAACACACAAATATCATTTTATCTTCTAATAATATAATTACTAATATCACACAATTCAAACCTACTAAACTTTGCATATAATATACCCATTTTTTATTCTAAAAAATCTAAGCCCGTCTTCTAAACATTTTCTCTTATTCCTACTTATTTGAATGGATGTCTCGTCACTTAAAACGACATCATCAATTAAAAAAACATACACACTACGACAACTAATTATGAATATACTTTGTCAACATCTTCATAACCAATATGTACATTGCAAACTCTGTGTACTCCCAAACTTCTTTAAATACACCTCAATTCTATAATATATATATATATAAAGTAACTTTGATACACATATTTCTCCCTTAATGCATGAAATCAATTTTTGTAATTCTCAAGTCTGTTCTCATGATCAATGAAAAAAACATATAGAAGACTTCCTCTCCTCTTTATACTTCTCTGTTAATTGACTGAACACAAAAATTCCTATCATCATAGATCTTCCAACATGCAATCAAATTTATTCTACAAAACTTCTGTAATTTTTCTAAGACTCAAAGTTGCATAAACGAATATATTTTCTTTTTCCTCTTTCGTGAAATATTTTTCAGTAATAAGTCTCTGAAAGCACATAATTTATCCAAAAAAGACTTCAAGCCATTCTTTTGAATGGCAGAAGAAATACAAGGGTACCATTTAATTAGTAAAATAATTCAGCTGATAACGGACCTCCTTTATTATGTTTTTTTTTTTCATCAGTAACTCCCTACAAGCACATAAATTGTCGGGAAAAAAATCTTCCAGACTCATTTTAAAAAGACATTGAAAAGCAGAAAAACTATGGTATAAAGATACATTTAAACTAGACCGCTAATTCAGTTGATCATTAATAATAAGGATAACATAGCAAGTATAAGATAATTTGCATGGTTGTCAATATACATCCTTCGAAGAAAAATTAACTGAGAAGGTGGATCATTTCATATGGCTACCATCCAATGAAAATAGCAGGCATTTCATATGGCTCCTTATTAACTGAGGAGAGGAAGTACTTCTATATGTCTTGTATCCATATATAAGTTTTATATATATATATATATACAAGATATAGCAACTCTTTATAAACAGATAAGGATGATTATCATAAAAAAAATATCCAATTAAATATACAATATTTTATACAAGTTCAAATGATAACTAGATAACTAAAAATAGTAACAAATAAGAATATGCAAAGCAGAAGAGAAACAATAAATGTAAATGAACAATTGTAACAATTCAAATCAACAAATAATAACTACAACTCTCGCCCAAAGTATTTACCTTACAGGCAAGTGGTTTCACTTGTTGAAGTTGATCAACGGATGTATTCAGTTCTGACAGAAGGCTGACAAGTTCTGGAGCAGAACTGCAAAATAATGAATCGGGGAAAAATAAGATTCATGTAATCAGTAATATTATCATATTATTAACTTTATGATTTGCATAGTTCAACATGACGATGTTTTCATGTTCAATAGAAACATTCAGTGTATAACAAATTACATACCTTTATACAAACATAACCATAGGAAATATAAAATGCTCAAATTCCAGAATGGGATCAAAGCTTTCAGCATTTTACTAGTACAAATAAACTCAACATGACGACATTAATTAACATTGATACTATAAAATTTCATCCTGCCTATTCAAAACCATTAATAGATCTTACCATAACAAATTGCTAGAACTTCTGCATTAACTTAATCATGCTCATAACATATTGCAGTAGTTGCTAAATGAACCACAGTTTCAAAATGCAAGTCCAAGTTAGACAGGAGCACATCTTCAAGAATATCTCAGGAATAACAAAATTCTGATACAAACATCTTAACTGCAACAGTCAGATTGCAACTTTCAAGATTCCAACTGACGAGGACATCGCTCAGAGATTCAGACATACCGGCGACGGAATCGTAGATCGACAACTACGATTCAGAATCTTTACTTTTGACGAATTAGTCTTGTTGTATGCATTATGTTTTATTTAGTTTTGTTGTTTTCCAATTTTTCTCCTATGGGAAGTGTCTTTTCATTGTAGCCTGGAGGGCAAGTTTATACTTTTCCTTTTTCATGTTAGAGGCCTATATATAGTGGCCCTATGTGTTGTAGTAAGATGATGAATGATAAATGAAAATTTTCTTTTAGCTTCTTCTTCTTCTTGTGTGAGCATTAGAGAGAAGGGGGAGAGAGAGAGAGCTCAAGGTGAGCAAGTGCAATATCCACCCGTCATTGGAAAAGTCCGTGAGTCGTGGTTTCCATCTTCCCTCCCCACTTTCCTCTCCATACCCGCCGGCCAACAACCACCCTCCTACCGAGCTCCACCATTGCATGCACCCCGATTCAAATCCTACCTTCTAGAAGCACCAAATTCCCTTCTCCAACCGACAGATCAACCCTCTCCTCCTCACACTCGACGTCATCCCCCAAGCCCCCATTGCCGCCGCCTCCCCCATTGGATCCACCTCCATTATGACGATTTCAATCGTCATAAGTCCTTCCTAAATTAGCTCAATGGGAAAAGGAAAGTAATTACCCTTGTTTGAAATTTGAAATTCAAATTTCAAATACTTTCCTTATTTGTCAATCCAAATTAGGAAAGTATTTAGTCATGAATTCAATTTAAATTCAAATACATTGGATTTATTACTAGCTTTCCTAATTCACAAACCTTGTTTAGAAACTCCCCAATTCCCTCCCTCCCTCTCAATGCCGCCGGCCACCCATTGATGGCTTCCCCATTAATTCCCATTAAAGCTCTCTATCCCTCCTTAATTTGAATTTAAATTTCAAATTAAATCCCTCCAAATCTACTTAAAATCTGAGAATAATTTTAAATTTGGATTAAAGCTCTTCCTCTCCCGCCCTAACCTAACATAATTCTCCCTCATCCCAAACTGCCCCCTCTTCTCCACCCTTGGCCGCCCCTTTCCCTTGTGCCTTCCCTCTTGTGAAACCTTAGTTTGCTCATAATACTTGAAGCCAAGAGAAGAAGACGACGTCCTCTCCCAATCTCATCAATGATGCATGGCCGATCCTAAGATCGACCACGGATTCGTATTCAACGAGCAAGGAAGGACGAATATTCTTGGATCCCCGTTCTTTAACGTCTTCTTTGGCAACGACGAAGCTGTTGAAGGGTACATCGACCGCATCTTGTACCAACTGACATTATCGATTGAAGAGCACCTTCCACCGGGTCGTTGGATAATCATTGGTCATCCACAACTTCCTCCACCGCGGGCTACCTCTCCACCGACGAAGATCCTTGGCGCCATCGTCCTAGTGATAATCTCTCTCCTCGTGTGCTTCGTCCTCCTCCGATAAAGCCTAAGAGTAATTGAGTGAGAAGGAACTCTAAGTGACCATATCTGGATGTTACGCTGTGGATTAATGTTTACTTTCTATTAGCATTATTATTTTGTTTCATAGTTATTGAGATTGTCCTGTTATCCTACTTGTAACTTTTGTCATCACTTAATCTCTTATTGAAAATTTCTACGAGTTTGAATTGAGTGAAGCATAAGTTCTTAAATAGCAAATTTCATGTTCAGTATTTATTGTTAAAACCTAAGCAACTCTTGCCGTATGTTTGTTTCACATCATATTTGATATCAGAGCATGATAGGCATAGATAACACATGCTAGAAAACATCCTAGGAGCTTACCTAACCAACCATATGCTTGTTTGCATGCATACATTCGTTTAGATAATTCAACTTGTAGTGTTTATTTGCTGTCCAGAAATTTTCTGCAGCGTTTAGAGAGCTTTAAGGTGACACCCAACCTAGTGTTTAGGTGCTGTGCATTTCCTAAAACCCATCCTTTACACCTAGGCCAATTCACCAACTGCTGTAGTTTGCTGTCCACACAAAAACTGCATCATTTAGAGGCATTAGGAGCATATTATCTTAGTATCTAGGTGCTGCCCCTTACCCCATTACCTTCCCTAGCGTCCCCTAACACCCAACCATGGATCCGGAACACATTCAAGCAACCTTAGACCTAATCGTGGGCCAACTTGGAACGGTTACTCAGCAAATTAGAACACCCAGACCGATTTAGCCGACTTTAGACGTCAAACGGTTAAGAGACTTGATAACATTTAGCGTATAGGAAACCCAGCGATCTACACCCCCTCTAGAACCCATTCTCCTTATGGTGATGATACCAGAACTGAATATGGTCCTCCTAGAAACCACTACCGCCCCAATCATCGACTCAATCAGGAACCTTTAAGACGCGACACTCCTTGGAGAGATAATGATGCCCAATTGCTTAAGAACATTCGTATAGATGCCTCGACTTTCGACGGTACGTTACAACCCCAGGTTTTCCTAGATTGGCTCAAAGGAATTGACTGTTATTTTAAATGGTATAATATTTTCGAGGAGCGAAAAGTCAGGTTCACCGAGATGAAGCTAATGGGTAGAGCTAATCAGTACTAGACGAACCTTGAACATATGTGCGAGATCCGAGGAGAATACCCTGTTACTGACTGGAGGACGATGAAACAAGAGTTAAAATGAAAATATCTCCCTCCCTACTACCCTAGACTTTTGGATCGTTGGAATAAATTGACCCAGGGAAGCAAATCCATCAAGGAGTACATTTCGGCCTTTGATGATTTCACGATCCGCTGTAGCAGGGAAGAGACCATGACTCCGACCCAACTTCTTTCGATGTTTAGAGCCGAATTAAGAGAAGATCTTCAGAATGAGCATTTTGCCAGAGGAGTGAACACTTTGGAAGCCGCTTATAGTCTCGTGCTAGATTTAGAAGAATCTAGGAGCCATGCCACTTCAAGGAACCAAGACCCTCCGCCCAACCCTTTCAAATCCTCCTCTAGTCAACCTAACAATAGACCCACTAGACCTACAACGAGTCGACCTACCCCTGACCAAGCCCAACCTCACCCTGACTATAAAGGTAAAACACCTGAACAGGAAACACCCAAGACCCCTGCTGGCACTAAATGTTTTTTATGTCATGGGTACGGACACATTGCCTCTCAATGTTCCAGCCCGTTTAAAGTCACCATTATTGAAGAAGTCACCGAAGAAGAGGATGAACTGGACACCGAACTAGTTTATCATATTGATGATGACGATGAGTTTTTCTGCGAGGAAGATACTGCCATGATCCACTGCCTCCAAAAAATGGATCACTTAGACATACAAGTCGTTAGGTGTGCTTTTTCACAACCTAAGTTAAGCGACGACTAGCGAAGAACATCAATCTTCTACACTTTCACAAAGATAGGAGACAAGAACTGCAAAGTCATAATCGTAGTGAAAGTTGTATTAATGTTGTGTCATCTGCTATGATTTCAAAACTCCACTTTAAAGCCACACCACACCCGAACCCCTATAAGGTCGCTTGGATCAACTCGACCACCTTAGAAGTGAAAGATAGGAGTCTCATTCCTATTGAGTTTGTGGGTTACAAGAAGAAGATTTGGTGCGATGTTTTAACTATGGATGTTGGCCAAATCATCCTCGGCCTCCCCTGGCTGTTCGATAACGATGTACACATTTATAGACGATCAAACACCTGCGTGTTTCAACACGAGGGCAAGAAAATCAAACTCCTACCTATCCAGCCTAAGTCTGCCAAAGAGGATGTCAAGCCCAACTCCCTTAAACCCAACACAGGCCTGAAATTATTAACTGCTAAAGACTTAGGTACTGAATTAGAGTCAGAATCTCCCCTCTACGCCTTGGTAGCTTGGGAAGTTAGTGCAACCCAAGAAGAGCCAGTCCCTGAAGAAGTAAAACCCCTCCTTGAAACTTCTGCTGACGTCTTCCCGGAAGATCTGTCCCACAAGTTACCACCTTTAAGTGACATTCAACACATTATTGACTTAGTGCCCGGAGCTTCCTTATCCAACTTACCCCATTACCTCATGAATCCAACTGAGCACACTGAACTCAAGAAACAAGTTGATAAATTATTACAACGCGGTTTCATTAAGGAGAGCCTCAGTCCTTGTGCCGTTCTTGCCCTTCTAACCCCTAAAAAGGATGGGTCATGGAGGATGTGTGTTGATAGGCGCGCTATCAAAAAGATCACGATCAAGTATCATTTCCCCATCCCTCGGTTAGATGATATGTTAGATATGATGATCGGAGCCACACTATTCTCTCAGATTGATCTTAAAAGTGGCTACCATCAAATTAGGATCCGTCTGGGAGACAAATGGAAAACCGTTTTCAAAACCAAAGATGGGCTATACGAGTGGACCGCGATGCATTTTGGCCAAAGCAATGCTCCCAGCACGTTTATGAGAGTGATGACCCAGATCTTCAAACCTTTCCTAGAAAAATTTGTAGTGGTCTACTTTGATGATATTCTGATTTATAGTAA